GCACCCAAATAGAAAAAGTGGGTCAATTTGTTGCTATGATAGGATAGATTTTGGCAAAGCATGAGAGCATCTGTTTATGTGTTTGTATCTCTATCAAGCACACATTTCTCTCTGGTTTTAGGGTTAAAATCTCTTATTAAAGACAGAATTATATTATTAATTGGCACTTGGAGAGATTTAATATAGTTTTCTTAATTAAAAAAGCCTTTTTTTCAGCTTGTTAGAAAATCCTCTTTCTTGCAACTTTAATGTTTCCTGAGTTTTTTCATTCCTCAAGCCACCCTTGATTGCACATGTATATTCTTTTTCTGTTTTTAAATACTGACTTTCATTTTTATCCATGAAAAGAAGTAAAGCATTTTATTGCAACAGTCATGTCGTGGAATTTACCCATAGAAAGAAAACATGGGTTAACATTTTGCTAGTATTAATAAAGAGCTGTGAATTGATTAACATTTTTTCCCCACTAAAATGGCACTTATCTCAAAAACAAGCAACTGGCCTGCTTAGTGGAAATGGCTTATAGTTTCACACAAAAGGATTTTTTTGTCATTAATGGCATCTATAATATACCTCTGAGGGAATAAACAGCACGTTCAAGAGAGTAGAGTAAAAATGAGATAGTTTTATATAAATGTTTTCATATTATTTTGGGGCACATGAAATAGTATTTCATCTTTTGTTGATAAGATTTTAAAATCAAAGTATATAAAAGAAGCAAATTGCAATAAGACTTCTCCTTTAAAGAGATAATTAATAAGAAAATTTTCCCATAGTTGATTTTAATGTCTGTTAGTAAGATTTTAAACACTTGAGACAAAAATCTTTCTTGTTTTCTCCTTTTGTAAAGAGTTCGAATTGTCAACCATTGTTTCTCTCTGCCAGGTGTGTTGGAGACCAGGGAAGATACAGGTCTGATTTGTTGTAAACATAAGTTAATGAGGTCACTCCTTGAGAAATTTGGTCTAGAATTTATTGTAATGTCTTATTCTTTTAGAGAATTTTCTAAACCACATTTAAATCTTAATTAAAAGCAATATTTAGATCATCTGACTTAAGTAGACTTTAAAACTCCAGGCTTATGAAAGATAACTCCTGCCAGTAGAAATAGTGAGATGTACTATGAAAAAGCATTAATTAGTGACAGCACGTCTGAATTAGGTATGGGAAAATATGCCTATTGGAATATAATGACTCCTGCTCTTAAATTTTTCTTTTTGTGTTTTTAAGAAGCAGCTGTATTATCTAATGGGTGTAATAAAGCTGATCATGCCGAATACACCCACATCATAAAATTGGCATTTAGCGTCAATTACTCACCAAAAGGAAACTTCAGTGGTGACTGATATAGTGCGTTGTGTTGTTAGTGGTGATCTGAATACATGAGGCAGAGGTGAAGTGATTGTTAATAAGGGAAAGCTTTGGAATTTCAAATAAAGTTATAAGTTGAGCATAAATAGTGATGTTTTTAGAAGGCATTGTAAACTGCCTTTGTGTTTGCCTTAATTTAAGTTCATTGCTGAGAGACATACATAGATTCTAGGGCCCATCTCTGCCCTCAACTGCTGTGTGATCTTGGGAAAGTCACTCAGTCTTTCTGTGTTTTAGCTCCCCACCTCCATATTGAAAATGGATACATTTTTAGTTTTTTGGGTTTTTTTTGAAAAAGCACAAGTGACAATGTCCATAGTTGATTTTTCTTTTCCTGTATTTATTTTAGCATAAATAAGATTGCCAGGATATTAAAATTTCAACAGCAACATGAAAATTTAGAATGTTTATATACTCTCAGGATATAAAACAAGTCTGAGAAATTTGAGAAAAGTTCTAGGTGTGGTACCTTTGTTTTCTTAAAGAAGTCTGGCAGCATCTAATAGTGCCTTACTGTCCCCAAAGTAACTTGGCAAATGGGTATATGTTTCTCAGAAATGAGAGTAATACAGAAAAGGGTTACACACAGAACATCCCTCTGCAAGTTAGAAGTGGATTGGAGTCAGTGTTGGGCTGGAGTCTTAACTCTGCTGCTTAACTAGCTGTGTGACACTGGGCAAGTTGCTTAACTTCTCTGAACCTTAGTTTTCTCATCTGAAAATGGTTATTGTGAGGGTAATGAAATGACAGGCTCACAGTGCCTGTTGCAAAGTAAGTATTTAGTACATGGCATTTATTATAATTGTTTTTGTTTTTCTCACCAAACCAAGATAAAAGCAATGCAGCTAGAAACAATAGGATTATATGCACCAGACCCTCTTGTTAGCATCACTCTTCGCACACCCCTTGCTTCCCTCTGTATTCTTGAGTCTCTCCCCCACCTTGACTCGTGAGTTTGGTTTTTCCCTCTGTCTTTGTGTGCCCCCAGGCTGGCTCAGTGCCTGGTACATAGTAGGTGCTCCATATGTGTTGAATAAATCAATTAACAAATAAGAGAAGCTCTCTGTTAACAAGTAAAACATCTTTTTTAAAATTTACAAAATAATAAAGTATCAGAAAATTTCTTTTGGTTACAGAACTCATATAAAGCAAACGAGTGACTGACAATCAGCTGTTGAACAGCTTATACGTTCAGTTTGTTGCTAGGACACAAATATATTAATTTGTGCCCTCAAATACAGCAGGTCCTCCAGTAACATTGCATTCAACATTATTTTGTCGAGATGCCATATGTTCTTAACTCTTATTTATATCAATTAGCCTATAGTAAAATTGGTTTTGTTATATATTATTTCACATAAAGTTACAGAATCTATTGAGGACACTAAGTAAGGACTTAACTATACTTTGCAATCCAATTGGACATACAAAACAAAATGTAGGAAGATACACAGTGTACAGAATGTCTACCTCTCTATATATCATTTCACACTGCTGATAAACTATTTTCAACAATGTAAGATTATTTTATAAATAATGTTATAGAAAATATCCTAAGATAGTGTGTGGTGATTTGTCAATGAAGTCATAGAAGCAGTTAATTTGTGCAGATGAGGGAATAATACCAGATTCTAGTACATGTAGTAAAATGCAAATAGGTAGATTAACTAAAAAAAAAAGTTTTCTGCAGATTTGAATGTACCAACAAAGTTGTAGAGGTGATAAAATGGACATAATATACTTAAATACTTAGAAGAAAGGGGTTGAAAGGTTTTAAGATAAGTGGGATATTTTTAATAAATGGAAGTAGAATTGTTTTCTCTCTATAGGCCTTGGCGAGGACTTTAAGGGGATGGACTTAACTGATTAGGGAATACAGATCCTTAATAGGAGGAAAGGATCCATTCCACTTAAAGGAAAAATGGACTTTTGTGGCAGACGAAGAAACCTTAGTGGAAATATAGGAAGTAGTGCAGTTTTACTAGGTGATAACTAGAAAGATTACCTTTCTATATCATCACTGCCTGCTGTGGCAGACTCTTTGCCTTTATTTGCCATTAAAGTTTGATTATCAAAAATAAACAGAAACTTGGTATTAATAATCACAAGTTTCTCTAAGTCACAGCTCAACGTTTCCATGTTGACTCAAGACAAAAACATAGCATTAAGCCTTTTTCTTTATGATCTTGAAATTATTGTATCATTCCTTCTATTCCTTCTGGAGTAGACGCAAGAAGGTGGCAGTCTTTTCCAATTGATACAATTTAACTACATTTCATTAGTCCTTATAATACTATGCATGAGAAAGAAAGAGTCATGTTAAACAAAAACATGACATCTTTTCAATGTGGTAGGATGGATATGCCATACATAGATAGTGCTGAACGAATGGTTGTCTTATCTATCACATGTCCTTTATGAAGTATTATCTTCTGTAAAATTAGACAGAGAAACTTTGTCTAGAAACACAGATCCAAAAACTACCACAAAAAGATTGTTATTGGAATCTAATATGGTTTTATTATCTCATGGCAAGTCAAACTCAGATTGTAAATATTTCATCACTGTAAGAGGAAGCAAATTGATGGTTCTATTTTTGAGTTCTACATTTTTTTTGAAACTATTAAGTAAAATGGAAAGAAATTCTTTCCAAAATTACATTCTCTTGGTTTAAAATAATTTTAGGTTTCAGGAATGCACCATACTTAAAAAAAATACTTTGAATAGTCACCGTTTGTTTTAGTCCAAAACTACTATATAAATGAAATCTATTTTTACACAATTTTCAGGACCAAAAAAGGTACTCTAGATGCTTCGCTCTTAAGTGAATGTTTGATAAATCAATTTGAAGAAACCAAAAAAAAAAAAAAAGAATAATTCTAACCTCATAGTACAGAAGCATCAGAAGAGATGGCTTTATTGAAAAGAGTCCTTTATGTTCAGGTGTGCTGAGTCACCTGGCAGAATGAGCTGGACATAATAAGCTCACCAGGCAGGCAGGGGTGTGAGGGACAGGTTTTGTCCCCAGAAGAGTCAAATTAAAACTACACTCGGTTATTTTGTGGCTTTTATTTTAGTTCTTGTAGAAATAAAAATTTAACTCCATTTATATTTTATTCCACATAATTGCAGAATTTTGTTTACTGATAGTAAAGGAGTTTACTTGGAAAAGTTCCTCTTAAGAAGTGAGCTTGTTTACCTCTCAGTGATATAAATGTTATCTCAGATTTTTCAGAAGTACCACAATATGCACATACTACTATTTTAGAACTTACCAACCAGAGGTGATCTGTCATTTCCTTCCTGTAATGTGCCATCTCAACATGCTCTACCTTGCTGGTTCTTCTGTAACAGCCTGCTTCTGTTTCTCCCTGGGGCAGGTGATGTTGGTTTTTCTCTCATTCTCCAGGACCACATATTAATTACTCTGCCAATAGGCCTCACTGTGGATTTGTTCTTTACAACTTTATGGTATAGGTATTTGGGTACTTATTTCCCTTTCAAGATCACAAACTCTGAAGGAAAACTACGTCTTGTTCAGACCTGTAAACCCTAAATGCTTAGCATAGTTCCTGTACATAATTGGCAATAATTACCAAATGGGTAACTGTTTCTTTTATGTATTGCAGGTTACTTAGAAGACCCCTACTCCATTCAGTAAGAGGAGCTGGAGAGATTTATCCTGGACAGTAGAACAAAAGGAAGAATATTGATGGATTTCAAACCACAGTTTTTAAAGCATTTGAGAATCCTGGGAAAATAATTTGTTCTCCTATACCTCATAGATAGGTTGTTTCTGATGCAGCTGAGAAAAATGCAGACCATCAAGAAGGAGCAGGCATCTCTTGATCCTGGTAGCAGTGTGGACAAGATGATGGTACTTAATTCTGCTTTAACTGAAGTCTCTGAAGACTTGACAACAGGAGAAGAGCTTCTTCTAAGTGAAGGAAGTGTGGGGAAAAACAAATCTTCAGCATGCCGGAGGAAACGGGAATTCATTCCTGATGAAAAGAAAGATGCCATGTATTGGGAAAAAAGGCGGAAAAATAATGAAGCTGCCAAGAGATCACGGGAGAAGCGTCGACTGAATGACCTGGTTTTAGAGAACAAGCTAATTGCACTGGGAGAAGAAAACGCCACTCTAAAAGCTGAACTGCTTTCCCTGAAATTAAAGTTTGGTTTAATTAGCTCTACAGCGTATGCCCAAGAGATCCAGAAACTCAGTAATTCTACAGCTGTGTACTTTCAAGACTACCAGACTTCCAAATCCAGCGTGAGCTCCTTTGTGGACGAGCACGAGCCCACAGTGGTGGCAAGCAGCTGCATTTCTGTCATTAAGCACTCTCCGCAGAGCTCTCTGTCTGACGTTTCAGAAGTGTCCTCACTAGATCATTCGCAGGAAGGCCCTGCACAGAGTGGCTGCAGAAGTCCTGATAGCAAGTTCCAAGTCATCAAGCAGGAGCCAGTGGAACTAGAGAACTATGCAAGAGAGCCAAGAGATGACCGAGGCGCCTACCGAGCGTCCATGTATCAGAACTACGTGGGGAATTCTTTTCCTGGCTACTCACACTCCCCTCCTCTACTGCAGGTCAACCGGTCCTCCAGTAACTCCCCGAGAACATCAGAAACCGACGATGGTACAGTAGGAAAGTCATCTGATGGGGAAGATGAGCAGCAGGTTCCCAAGGGCCCAATCCACTCTCCCGTTGAACTTCAGCGTGTACATGCCACAGTGGTTAAAGTTCCAGAAGTGAATTCCTCTGCTTTGCCACACAAGCTCCGGATTAAAGCCAAAGCCATGCAAATAAAAGTAGAGGCATTCGATAATGAATTTGATGCCACACAAAAACTTTCCTCTCCTGTTGACATGACATCTAAGAGACATTTCGAACTTGAGAAGCATAGTGCCCCAAATATGGTACATTCTTCTCTCACTCCTTTTTCGGTGCAAGTGACTAATATCCAAGATTGGTCTCTCAGATCGGAACACTGGCATCAAAAAGAACTTAATGGCAAAACTCAGAATAGTTTCAAAAATGGAGTTACTGAAATGAAAGACAATGGCTATAAAGTATCTGACCCAGAGAATTTGTTTTTGAAGCAGGGGATAGCAAACTTATCTGCAGAGGTGGTCTCACTTAAGAGACTTATAGCCACACACCAAATCTCTGCTTCAGACTCTGGGTAAATTACTACTGAACAAGCTCTGGGCATCTAGAGATGTCATTTGCAATAGATGAGGAAGTTTTGTATTAAGTTGAATTTTCACTGGACCCGTGATGTCATTTCACTGTAATGTTCACATGTCTGTTGGGTGTCTTTTTGTGCACAAATTATTATGAAGATTAGATTGTGTTATCACTCTGCCTTGTGTATAGTCAAATAGTCCATGCGAAGGCTGTATATATTGAACATTATTTTTGTTGTTCTATTATAAAGTGTGTAAGTTACCAGTTTCAATAAAGGATTGGTGACACACAGAATTTCTGCTCCACTGCACTTGATTTTAGAATAAAGAAAAAGCATTTTAAGTTACAAAAATAGATATTAAGTTATTCTGCATGTTACTTATTTAAGGGAGTTTTCTCCCCTGAGTAAAGGAAAACCAAAGTCTAGGTTCAACAAATAATTTATTTTTCTTCTAATTTGGCCCAGACTGTAATAAGTTTGAAAATCTTCCAAACAGAAGATTTGAGCCTTTGAGACTAATTTATTAATTTATTCCCCGTAATTTGTTTTTCTTTAAAGTTAAATTTTCTCTATAATTTTTTTTAAGGATAAAAATCCAAGTCGTTTTGCATCAGCCTGTCTTTAGTCATCTCTTTTTTTAAGTATGACACATGGATGTGGATAGTTGAGTCATTGACCCATTTTATTAATTAGAGTTTCTTTTAAAAGTGGATGAAGTCATTTTTATGTTATTATAAATCTTAACAATAACTGTCTAGGGAATTAAGCTAATTAATTTCTGTTTTTATTTAGTTTCCAAAATTTCGAAGAACACATCAGTTATCACATTCCAACATACATAGTCTGAGTATATATAATAGCTTTTTTTTTTTTTTTTTTATGATTTGTTAGCAACAAATATAAATAATAGCTCCAGTTTGGAACTCTTTATAATACACAAGTTCAGAAGAAAGCATCATTCTAAACATTGATGATAAGACCATTATGATGATTTTTCCAGGATCCGCCACTGATCTCTCAAGTGCTGTCAAACACAGACCGAAGGTACTTCAGTTTAGAAGCATCTGGCATCTGGGCGGGATGGAAGGGTTGGGTGCTATTGGTCAGACACAGCTCTGTCCACAGCTACTGTCACCAGAGCCCTCTCCAAAAGTGCCTCTTTTCACATTGAACTCTTTTTTAGAAGTAGGTGAAGGGGCTTGAGGTGTCATAGAACACATGCAGAGGAACTTAACCGTCATCGTGTAATCTGTATCTCATGGTGGCCCCTAGAAAGAGCCCAATTGTAACATTTCATTTTGGGGATCTGCAGTCTTCGGACTGCTCTATTTGAGTAAGCCTGATTTTTGATATGTTAAACTTCCGCTATTTTATATTTTAAAAAAGTGGTCCTTGGAATTAAGGCAATGCCATCTCCTGTGTCTTTTTGGCCACAGGGTTTTTTCTCGGCAATCTCCTGGCTCTTAGAGAAATGTGTTTCCAGTCTCGGCCCTTGGCCTTCTCTCTTCAGCATTTCACTAGTGACTGGGTGAGGCCCAGAGGCAAACATATCTCATTTGCCAGTGTTACAAAGCACAAGATGGCAATTAGGACCCAAAAGTGTTTGACAGCCTAGAATGGATGGAATGACTCTAACAACATGAATTATAATAAGGATACAATGTAAAGCCAGGTTCCTATGTTAAATGAAAAAGGAAATTTAAGGCCTTCTAAGTTCACAGTTGGGAAAAGAACTAAAATAACTATATATGAAGGGAGGAAATAAGCTTTAGTTCCTTGCAGCTTACCATACATGAGTCAACTCCCAGTGGAATGTTGGTTGTGGCAACACAATGTCCAAACATGAAGACAACCCTTCTGCTATACTAGGAACACCCACATTAAGAGATGCAGTAGGAAGCGTTCAAAGGCGCCCAGCAGAGATGGGAGATTTCACAGCTGGGGAATAGGAGAACATATTAAGAAAACTCAATAAACTGCCCCCAAAGGCAGTTTGTAAGAGAAAGGCAGATACTTTAAGAGAAAGAAAGAACAAGTAGACAGTAGCAAGAGAGGTAAGTCTTGAATTATTTCAAGGAAGAACTGCGTCCATCAGAGAAGCCAACTGGCCTACCTGAGGCATCTTCTAGATTAATTGCTAACATTAGCTATCATAGTGAATAAATCACTCTTGGATGCTCTTTTCTTAGTCATTGCATTATGATTTCAAGGACCTAAGGTATTGTTGGGATTGTGTTTAAAATGGTGCTCCTTAAAAATTAAAGGGTGACACAAACTAGCAATTCCTTTACATTAGGAACCCGAGAAATGTAAAGTCAAATTACACTGTGATACTTCTGTTTCATGTGTGAACTAAGGAAAGACTGCCTCTCCCTTCCACTCAGAGTTCTAAAAAATGATATAAAATGTGTTCAAAGCCAAATAAATCTGTAACTACTCAAAACCTAAGACACAGTAGCCTTAGAGTACCAGAAATCTTAAGAATTCCCAGAAAGGTGGCTGTCAGGTGGGCCTCCATGGGGAGGAAAGCTGCAGCTGGGGAAAGAGATGCCCTCTGAGGTCCAGCTCACCACTAGACACGAGAGGAGGGAAGGGAGCCAAATGGTCAGCAGTGGATTCACTGGGACATTGCAGCAGAAACTGTGTTTTCTTTTCCTACCCAGGACAGGCAAGAAGGAGCAGGGAGTATGGTAGGCCAATTCACAGAGGCAGGGCTTTGCCCCTCAGTCCATAGTCCCCTGTGGAGTGCAGACACGGAGTCCCCATGCAGCCCGCCCAGGAACACATCTATCCCTCCTGTGTCCAATGGTGTCTCATTGTTATTTATATGTCCATTTTATAAAGGAAAACATTGAGACTGAGGTTAACTCACTAAAGCTCTCAGAACAGCCAGAACAGCCAGAACCCCAGCCCCAGGGAGCAGGGAAAGGCAGCCTGGCACTTCAGTCCTTCCCAGTATAACCGAGGGAAATGAGACTGGAGAGTCTAATCTGCAGGGGGGTATCTAAGGAAGCGTCCAAGTTGTAAGTGTCTTTTCTCTGTAAATCGGAAAAACCTCTATCAGAGTATCTACTTTTCTATTGCCTAATAGTTGTATAATAACTATTTTTTTATCTTCAAAGAACAAATACTTCCAAATGAAAACAGGTAACATTTGTATAGATCTTCCAGTTCACATGGATTTCACACATATTATCTCTTCTGAAGCCAATCCCTCATAAATGGGCTCTATTAAACTGGAAGCTGTTCAACTCATTTTTGAAAACTAAACATTATCTCTCAAAATTTAGAATCATTGGCAGCACCTACTTGGTCCTTAGGGTTTCTTAAGTGTTAGGGCAGGGGTTGGAGCTTGGAACGATTTGTATAGTTCTCCACCAGCTACGTGCACCAAAAAAATTTAAATGAGAAAAACTTGCCAAGAGTGTGAAATTGTAGATTACTAGAGATACCAGTGAGTTTAGAGAAATAAAAGGAATTTCAGAATTATGAGCTGCAATCTAATTAGAAATAACTGAGATGTCTTCATGGAAGATCACGTGTAATACCACAAGTTCAAAGACCGGCAGTATTTTCCACAGAGCTAGCTGAGACTGATTCCAATGTGCGTAAAGAGAAACGTGATTCAAGAACTAAGGGAGATAAGTGGGAACAGTCTTGGCAAAGGAAGACAGGTGATGTTAGGAAGTGACAAAGAGCACTAAAGTCAAGAAAGCAAGTGGCTATCACTACTGAGACATTAGGCAAGGGACTTGCCAAGGAGTGATGGCTGTTGTTGAGTATTGATAATCCCATGGCAGACAGCAGAAAGACTTCATAAAGTCAACTAAATAAGCTAAGTAACCTAGGCAGGTATAACTGCCATTTTTGATATCTCTGTTTTGTCAATCTTACCCACTTGAGAAGGAGGTTACTCTGGGGAAAGTGCTTCAATAAAGGCTATGGTCAAGAATAGTCCCTTTTGAAAGCACATGTGGACAAAATCATAAGCATAAGAAAGGAGGAGACAGGAAGTCATTCAACAACAATATATAGCAATTTAACAGAAGAAAGATGAGGAACAGGAGAAACCTCAGCATGAACCACTCTTGAAGTAAGCAGATATTTTGGTATAACAAGTTTTAAAAAAAAGTTATTCTAACAGCTGTGCCAGATTTCCCATAACAGAGGAACTTCCTTTTTGAGAAAATTACTTCGATGCACTACTAGGGTCACAGGAAAACCCTAAAAACAATAATGTCAGTGGGTCCTGGATGCCAAGAGAAGGAGGTAGGTTGCTTTGCAGAGAAAGGCAACGGGGTGGTGTCTTGTACTTCTCAGGGGTGGGAGCTTGAAGGCTACTTTTGGCAGGAGGTGGGGAGAGAAAAGGGAGGGAGAGATGGGGAGAGGAAGAGGCACTGCTGAATGTGCAAAGACATTTCCATTTCCTCAAATTGTACTAACTAGACTCTCCAATGCTTTGTGTGAGTGGATTTTTATGTTTGCTGGACTTTATATCCAGGTCAGCATTCTACAGAGCAAGGTAGCCTGACTGGGAGCCAGCACCAAGGCCTGGTGAGATGAAGGCTGAGGCTATGGGAACCCATAGAATGTGGAGGGACCTTGCACCCTGACAACCATGCAGCTGACACTGAGGGACGTTCTTATCTGGATCTCAGGGCTTAAGGATCAATAAATAGAAATTGCCGGTGGGTACCCCATTTTGTGCTACCTGCTTTGGAGGAAACAGCTACAAGAGACAGTGTCTTCTTTTGAAGAATTTTGAATTTGCTTGTGAAAGAAAGACCAACTAACAGTGGTATAGCCAATAGACATTACCAAGAGGTAGAATGTGTAGGAAAGAGAGATGCCTGTGAAAGGAGCTCAGAGGATTATGCTGCAGTCCCAATAGGGACCTGAGAGACATTTGTGAGAAATGAACTGTGCTGGAGGAATTAGAACTTGGACAAGCAGAAGAGCAGAGAGCAGAGATCTCACCGTCAGTGGGGAAACAGTGAAGGTACTCTGCACCCCTGGAGAAGTGAATTTATTTGGAGGACTGGTAAGAAAAAATTCAGAAGTAAATATAGAACCAGTTACAAAGGACCTTAAAGAAATCACCCCTGAGTTACTTAGGAATGGCTGTAGGAAATGAATCTGTAAACACAACTGAAAGAGTAGAAGGGCTGGAGCTACAGGAGATTTCAAGTCTGGGATCAGGAGAGCAGAGGTCAGGGAAGTGAGAGATTTGGGAAGGCCAGGGATGGATCTGGGAGAAGGGTTTCCTGCCAGTTAGTAAGAACCTGTGGAAGGA